GAGAGAGAAGCTAAGAACAAAGCGGATAATGAGGAGTTGAGAAGAAGGGGAAAGAGAAAGGAAAGAAGTGATCAGAGTTTGAGAAACTGAAAGAAAAAGGGGAATAAGATGGATGGACAGGGGAAAAGGGACAGGGATAGAGGACAGGGTCGTGTTAAGGAGAGGGATAAGAAAGAGGGGCCAAAAATAGAGGATGATAAAAGATGAAGAAAAGAAGAAGAGAGATTATAGGAGTTAAAAAGGAGATTTGAGTGGAGAGGAAAGGAGGGAGACGAGGGAACGAAATAAGTGAAATTGAATCAAAAGAGCAAAAGGGGGAACATTGTTAGCAAGGAGAAAAAAGAAGAAAGACAGAGGAACAAAATTGATAAGAAGATAAGCAGAGAAACATGTTTGACTTTATGTTTAATCTTTGCCCGTAACAAAGTGTGATAAAGCCAAACAATATGAAACACTGTTTATATTATATTATTGCAATACGCTAATTTTAATGTATGCTGGACGTTGGAATCTACTACAGGCATTTTTAAACTGAGCATACATTGTTATAAATGTAGAAATATTTAATAAAATCTTCATTTGTTTATTAAATCAGTTATTTTGTCAACATGTTTTAGCCATCATAAAGATAGACTTGTTTGGTTGGCAAAGTTGATCACACTTCAAACAACCATTCACTGACCTCCTCGGCCCTGTATGGATATGACTTCCTTTCTTTAGTTCATGACCTGTCTTAAAATGTTTGATATATCAAATGCCTGAGCATTCTTCTTCAATTCTTAGGCCCAATTATTGGTTTGATTTATTCTGTTTATTCAGTATTTTATTCACAATGTAAGGGACAAAAAGAGCTATTTTGCAGTTTTGCTCCTGTACTCTCACTCATAAACTCACAGCTTTCTTTTCTTGCTGTCTTTCTCTCTCAGAATTTGTCTTCTCCCTTCTTTCATCTGCGCTGCCCTGTCTGCCCTCAGTGGCAAACTTCTGCTTATTAGAGAAAGAAAGAGAAACAGAGACTGATGAAGAGAGAAGGAGAAAGAAAAAGAAAGCACATTTTGCTTGTCAGGATTTCTGTTTGTGTGTGTGTGTGTGTGTGTGTGTGTGTGTGTGTGTGTGTGTGTGTGTGTGTGTGTGTGTGTGTGTGTGTGTGTGTGTGTGTGTGTGCGTGCGTGAGTGCGTGCGTGCGTGCGTGCGTGTGTGTGTGTGTGTGTGTGTGAGAGACTGAGAGGAAGAGAGAGAGATTTGTGCTTATCAGACAGGAAGTGGATCTCTTACAATAGCATTCTGACGTTTCCTCTTCTCTAATGTGGAAAACTGTTAAGATTCCTATTCCAGATACCACACACACACACACACACACACACACACACACACACACACACACACACACACACACACACACACACACACACACACACACACACACGTCACAGCGGTGCAGATAAGATGCAGCTGCTGTGTTGTAGACAGAATTACTGAGTCAGCCATATGTATTCACAGACTTAAGACACTAATTCACACTAACACATAGGCGCACACAGACCCACAAACGTACACAATCCTACTTGAGGCTTACATACCTCACATGCAGTTTGATATTTGCTATTCAGTTGATGCTGAAAATACACAAACAATGCACAGAGAGGGGGGAATAAACTGACATAAATACATTTGGTTTGAAGAAGATGGTTTAAATGATGACGGTAAAATAATAGGAAACAGGCAGAAGGGATATAAAAAAAAAAACAGGCACAAGTACAATTCTTGATTCGTCTGTCTGCAATTTGCTTTTACAAATTGAATCCTGATTAAACCTGTATCTATTTCAGTTCAACCTCAGGATGTAAGATCTGAAGTCTTTCTTTCTTGGAGAAAATTGCCAGATATGCAGGCAGTGATGCGTAACCTGTCCGATATGTTGAGTTTATTAAATATGAGGAATCAGAATGGCTAAAATAGCTTTGACATATAAGTAAAAGATTATACACTGGATTTCTATCATCTCCAGCACAGCAATTAGAACTGAACAATCATTGTAGACCTTTCACTTTTAAAACATTAATGTTAGAATAATGACACAAAGTAATTTTTTTATATATATATTTCAAATGTACCCACCATTTTTGTTGATGTTCATAACAGGAAAAAAAGTTCCACACCATACAGTTTGACAGGAGTGCCCTGGTTTCTGGTAGATAAAGACATTAGTTATTTTAGACTACTTTGCAAACTAGAAAAAAAGTTCAGAAATAGTGATCCACACTGGGTGAGTGTAGATTAAAAGTGAATAATGTAGGAGTGTGCACCCTACATCCAACCTGGCTCCAACAATTACACCACCGACATGCTACGCTGATTACAGAAGGTGCAGCTGCTCTCGCCTGTAGGTTGTTGTCCTCTGCTTCCTCTAGGTAGGCCTTTTGCTTTGTATGTGTGATCAGGCCGCCACAGTTAACACTAAAACCTGAACTCATTCAAGTCCTTAGACTATATTCTCCACAGCTTTAACTTATTTGTGTCTCCTTTTTTACTTTTCTAATTGTCCTACCCCTTTAGCTGCTCCCTCTTGCCAGGCAGAAATGCAGTTTACCTAACAGCTGTTCATCAAACAATACAGGTCAGCAACAGCTTTTCAGCAGCCATCGAATCTAAATAGTGTTTTGTAGTTCTCCTTGTTTTTCATCCATTCTCATGCTGCTTTCTACAAATGTCACTTGTTTCTTTCTTGTTGATTATCAATTTAAAAGAATAACTTTAAAGAATATAAATGTATTATTTGATTAATGAATGCAATAGAACTAAACATTTAATGAATGGTGAATGAATGAACAAGAAAATCTACCTCGAATAGCCGAGAAAAGCTTGAATTGAGCGGTGTTCCCCTGTACTCATAATGAGAGAGAGATCAGATTTTTATATGTACCACATAGGGGTCGACTATTGTGTGACTGATGAACAAACAGGCGGGCCATTCCCTAATCCCAGTTGGAGTTTACACACATACACACACAGTCAAATCCCACTGTGTGTGTGAACAAACAGAGGATGAAAGGCAAGACAGCGAGGGGAAGAGCACATATAAAGAGCTGCTGTTTTATTAATGAACCTGGAAACAGGCTTGGGATTCTCAGGATGTGTGTTTGTGTGTGTGTTTGTGCAAAAGAGAGAGAGAAAGTGTGTGTGTGTGTGTTTGTGTGTGTGTGTTTTATGGTTATGCACCCACATAACAACCGAAACCGGGGTGGGTGCCTAGACTGTATTCACACACACACACACACACACACACACACACACACACACACACACACACACACACACACACACACACACACACACACACACACACACACTCACATGGTCTCTAATAAATTCACCCTAATTCATTCTCTCTTTTCTCTGGGGAAAAGCCAGCAGTTTGCCTGATCCAAGGAAGCTTCACGTTACCTTCCCTAAATAATTGATGCTTTCTCTCTCTCTGAGTTGCACTCACTTGCTCTCTCTTTCTGCTCTCTGTGTATCTGTCTGTTCCTCTTTTTCCTTCCGTCTGGTCCATTTTTTTCTGTCTTTTTTTCGTCCGTTTCTATTTCTGTTTTTCTTATGTCTGTCTTTCCTCCTCTCGTGACTCACTGATTATTGTGATTTCATTGAAATAAACATGCACAGCTATGAAAATATTGCAACATTTTAAAAAATTGCCACTGGAGATAAAAGTTTTATACATTTGTTTTTCCAAGTGTGTGTGTGTATGTGTGTTTCCCTTAAGAATTAAAACCACTGAAAAGTGGTGGCATGTAGATGCACATTCTGCGTGAAAATGATTTTGTGTATATGCATGTGTTTCTATGTGTGTTTGCATTTCCGTCTGTGTGTGTGTGTGTGTGTGTGTGTGTGTGTGTGTGTGTGTGTGTGTGTGTGTGTGTGTGTGTGTGTGTGTGTGTGTGTGTAGTGT